TATAAGAGACAGGTAGTGGCTTGTGCCCTCCTTAGTGCCTGTCCCCGGGGGCTGCTACTGCAGGACGGAGTCAGCGGTGAGCTTGCGGCGCAGGGAGGGGTTGAGGACGAGGATGGAGGGGCGGGGGCGCAGGCTGGGGTAGATGCGCTGCAGCACGGCCCGTCGGAAGAGGATGTAGACCCAGGGGTCCAGGATCTGGTTCCAGGTGACCATGCGGATGTAGATGAGCAGCATCTTCTGCGTCTCTGTGGGCAGCGTCTGGATCCGGCCGTCGGCTGGGAGCTGCTGCAGGACTGTCTGGATGATGAAGATCTAGAAGGGGGAAAGGGGGTGAGGTGTCAGCAGAGGGGGCCACACAGAGGCCACGCGCTGCCCCGGGGAGGGGGAGATGCTGAGGGGCCAAGTGTGGCATCAAGCCCACTGAAAAGGGGTCCCAGGCTGGTTTCGGGCGGTCGCACTCGCTCTGCCCGCGAGGGGTGCTGAGCCCCAGAGCCCACGGGCCGGGGTGCAGAGCGGTGGCGGCGGCACACAGAGACCCAGAGCCTCACCCAGAGGGGCACCCCCCGACCTGGGGCCTCACCAGCAGGGACACGGAGGGGGGAACACACCGAGACCGGGGACCTCACCAGGAGGAGCGTGGGGGGGCCACACCAAAACCCAGGAGGGACACCAAGACCCGGGGCCTCACCAGGAGCACGGGGCAGGGGGAACACACCAAGACCCGGGGTCTCACCAGGAGGGGCATCCAGCAGATGGTGGCGATGATCATGATGCCCACGAGCTGCACCATCATCTCCACCTCGCTGTCCCGGCGCCGCTGCACCGACTCCCGGTCGTGGTAGACACGGCAGAGCGTCACCACGCTGACTGTGTTGAGGATGAAGGAGAGCAGCACAGAGAAGATGCCCAGCAGGGCAAAGAGCAGGCAGAAGACGACGTCACCAGTGTCAGGCAGGAGGGTGAGGAAGCACCAGGAGCCAGGGAACTGCAGCGTGTACCGCCCCAGCCCCAGCACTGGCAGCAGCCCCAGCAGGCAGGAGAAGCCCCACACCAGCCCCACAATGGACCAGGCGCGGCGTTTGGAGATGCTGGTGGAGCGGGAGAAGGGGTGGTTGATGCCAAAGAACCTCTCGCCGGCCATGGTGGCCCCCAGCAGCAGTGGGCACTGCCCGAAGAAGACCATGGAAAAGCCGAGAAAGTTGCAGAGGTGGCAGCCGGGGTCCACCCTGGCCCAGGCGAACTTGATGAAGTGGTAGGGGATGATGACCGAGGCCGTCACCAGCAGCCCCATGAAGTCCGTGACCACCAGCCCACAGAGGAAGACGAGGAAGGAGGAGCGGGCCTGGCTGGACAGCTTGCGGGAGGAGCTGAGCAGGACGCAGAGCGCAAAGAGGTTGGAGCAGAGGCCGATGAGGCCGAAGGCGGTGGAGAACCAGGGCGAGGTGATGCTGTTCTGCCCATTGTTTGGACCGTCGCTGGCGTTGAACACCCCAAAGCAGGTGTCTGACTGTCCAGCTGCGCTGCTGTTGTGGGGGTCCGTCTCCCCCGACCCCATCTCGCTCCTTCTGGTGGTTTCAGGCGCCCTCCTGGCTCGGGCCCATGGCCTGTGCCCCCGGCCAGTGCCAGCACCGATCCCACCTCGCCCTGCGTGGATAAGGAGGGGGTTTAGGGCCAAGCCGTGGCCAAACCCACCCATCACCCCCCTGGGACTGCAAACGTGGGGCACCCCGTGGCGTGTGGTGGGGGGATGCAGCACGTGCCTGGCTGGCACCGCTCTGGGGGCAGCGGCAGCAGCGGGCGGGGAGGGCCCCAGCCCCCCAGCTGGACAGGATTAACTGTCCCCGGCCACGAGCCACACACGGCTGTTGCCATGAGGCTGCAATGCAGCATGGTGGGTGTTCGGAGAAACGCAGCACTGGCAGCTGGGCTCTGACAGCACCGGGTCCCTCCGGCCCCTGGGGGGACAAGGCCAGAACCCCCTGTGGGGGGATCTGCCCCCTGCCGCGGTGGGGGGGGGTTGGTAAACCTGCTCTGAAGGATGGGTGATGCAGGCACAAGGCGGCTTCACCTTCCCAAGCCCTGGCTCAGGGGGGAGAGGCCCCATTCCCGCAGTGTGGGGGGGAACTGAGGCACAGGACGGGACAGCCGCGCCTGGAGCTGTGTGCTGCGCCCCCCGGCACTGGCACCGCGGCCAGCCCACCGCAGAGGGACATGCAGCCAGCTTGCACGTGTGACAGCCCCCCTTCCCCACCCACAGTCAAGGGTCTGTCACCGGGCCATCGGCCCCGCGGCTGTGGCAGGTTGTCTGAGGGCCGCTGCGGTCACAGGCAGGCGGGTCGCTGCCGCTGGCTCGCTGGGTGACCCAGGGCAGCATCCCGCATCTGGGAAGCCCCAGGGCTGCTGCCTCCATCACTCATTAGTCCAGGCTGCAAATGGGATGATGTGGGATGGGGCAGAGGCATGGTGACAGCCGGGACCAGACTCCTCCTCTCCTCCCGGGAACTTTCTCCAGGCTGTGGGTGTCCTTGTATCCCATCCGCCCTGTCCCCACACCGCTGGCTGGCGCAGTCACTGGCCCGGTGGCCCCTGTGGGATGCCCAGCTGTACCCCGACCCGCTGCCTCTGCAAAGGTCCTGGGGCTGTGGAGGTCCCTGCACCCCTGCCTCCCCTCATGCAGGGTGGCACTGCCACCTGCCCTCCATTCCTGTCCCCAAGTCAAACCTCAAGCCATCCCTGACTGGTGTCAAACCCAGCGGCTGGCCCTGCTCTGCGTCCCCGCATTCCGGGCACCCCCGGACTCGCCACCCCCTTTCCGGCCCCTGGTGTGAGGGCGGCTGCGGGGCTGGGAGCCGCCGTGCACACCCGAGGCACACGCCGATCCCACAGCCTGTCCCGGGGCTGGGATGGGGCCAGACATTGCAACACCCTCCTGTGGGGCCACATCCAGGCAGGCCGCAGGGCTGAGGGTGCTGGCACCCATCTGCCACAGCAGCACCCTTGCACCCATCACCGGCTGCACCGTCTGCGGCTGCTGGGGAGTGGGGAAGGGATCGGGGGTGATGGCAGGGACACGTCCCCATCTGCGTCCCCGTCTCGGGGCAGGCGGCTGGCAGAGTGTGGCGGTGATTCACTGCCTCAGCGCGAGGACGGCCCCAGCTTTTTCCATGAGACAAGAGCGAAAACTTCCCGCTGTTTGTTTTCTTCGGCCCCTGAGGGATGGCAGCGGTGGCCCAAAGGCGTCAGTCCCCTTGAGACACGCGGCCAGGCCTTGGTGTGACGGTTCTGGGTCCCCAACAAACCACCAGCCTTTCCCATGTGCCCTGGGATTCTCCTCCTTGTGGGGTGGCCAGTTCCCTCCCTGCCCCACAGCGATGCCCCGTGGGGGCCGTGGATCAGAGGTCCCACTCTGGCTGCTCCTCGCCACATGCCTGCCCACGTTCTCGGGGCGCTGTCCCCAAGCGTGTGTGTGTGTGTGTGTCCTGCCCCAGAGCGCTCCCTGCGCTGGCTCCAGTGTGGCTGGGGATCAGGGTGGTGCTGCCACCCTGCTGCCCCACCACCCGGGGACTCACAGCCATGGGGGACTCCTGGCAGGCTCTGACCCCTCTCCCCACCCTGTCCAGAGTG